TCAACTGATGTTGAAGCTAGTATGTCAATAGGGCCAGTGTCCTGGATATTTCCACATTGGTAGGGAGAGAGAATCTGACATCTGATCTCCCTTTCTGACACAGAGCTCTTTTATTGCGGAAGATCTGATGCATTATCCTTAGGATGCCCTCCTATGGGACATAGGATTGCAGTGTGTTCTAAGGCTTTGTCATATTTACAAATGTTATGACTTGTATGTGCATTTGCATCGATTCCACATACGTAAAGTTAAAAACCACCCAATATTCCAACCTTTTCCTCCTTTGGCTACCTCTCTTGATTTCTTTCTCCATCAAGATCTCTCCCAGAGCTTGCTCAGAGTTGTATGTTTACTCCCCAGCACCAAATTATTTTATAGACCCTAAAGTTTCCACACACAGTGATTCAGCGGAAGAGTTTATTCCTCTTACGTTTTCTAGTTTAGTGTTAAAGTGCCCTCTTTAACGCATAGAGGAACATCACTCCCAATATCCCCCTCCTCAGTTTTTCTGCATCCTGGGACATCTGATTTCCCTTTGTCCCACTGGGTTTCTGAAACATCCACCTCTTTATGTTCCCATTTAGCATCAAGCCCTCCACTTCCCCCATCTTGCCCTGGAAGCCTCCAGCTAGCATTGTTTCATAAACAGAATATTATGTCCCTCTCCATACATCATTTCCATGTGCAATTTTCACCCACAACTCTTTGGTCTCGCCGGCTGTCATTTCTTCCTGTATGGCTTTTGCCAAGATCTATCCTCTCTCTTACTTCCATGACCTGAAACATTGACACCATTACCCTCAAGGGACAAGTAACATCCTGAACCAGATGGTCCCCCAGCTCCTGGCAGCTTCCTTTCAGATATCTTCCTAGAAGATGCTCTGCAGCCTTTTGGATATGAAAACACCAGCAGTCTGGTTCCATTGCTGTTCAGGCGGAACCTGCCTCTCTTGTGCAGGCTCAGTCTCTCCCCAGAAGCTCCCTAGTGCCTAACAAATCTAAACCTTTCCTCCCAATGCCACTGTCTCATCCATGCATTGAGACCCCGCATGTAATTCTCCGGCTGTTAAGGGGAGATAAATCCACCTTGGGCTTTCGGGACAGGGGATGATGGAGGAGGGGTGTGTGAGGAGTGGAGAGACTCATCCATATTTATCAAACGCAATCGCAGATTTGGCAAATCCTGTCCCGATCGCCCGGGCTCTTATTTTGCATTATTAAATATTCATGCAAGCTGGTTGACAATGTGGGGTTTGCACATTTTTGCCACTGAATCATTTATGTAGAAATCAGGGGAAACACAGAACCCTGCAAAAGAAAGAAAAAAGCAACTCATTGGAAAAGGTTCAGAAAAGGGCAGCCCCGATGATCAAGGGGATCTCTCCTATGAAGAAAGGTTGCAGCATTTGGGACTTTTCAGCTTGGAGAAAAGTCGAGTAAGAGGCAACATGAATGAAGCTCGTAAAATTAAACATGGCGCTGAGTAGCTGGGCAGAGGAACATTTCCTCCCTCATGACACTAGGACTTGCGGACATCAAATGAAGCTGCATGGTGGAAGATTTGTGACAGATAAACTATGGAACTCTCTCCTCATAGCTGGCAAGCATCCCTTATTTGGAGGGACAGTCCCTTATCCCAGCGCCATGTCCCGCTGCTGCCCCTTATTGATGGATGTCCCTTAAATCTGGCGGGAGCCTCAGGCCCTTCCGCCGCCATCCTCCTTGCGGCTGCCGAACTGAGCAACTCTGCCTGGGGCCTCCCCTCTGCCCGTCGCCGCCGCTCCCGCTCCTGCTTGGCCATACTGCGGCTGTGCCGCCGAAGGACCTGGATGAGATGGGCAGCCTGGCATGGCCTATGAATTGCTGAGGAGCCTTGAGAGGAGAGCAAGGGCAACCATAGAGAAAGCAGTTCAGAGAGAGGAGGAGGAGGAGGCGGAGGCGGAGGCGCGGGCAGGTGTTCCAAGGGCTACAAGGGAAGGACCACAAGCGCTTCTCCCATAGATTTGTAGTGGTAGACTAGCATAGATGGTCTGATCTGCGGGTTTACTTCAGGCGCTATTCCCCCCCACACACACACTTCTTCCCGCCCCGCCTGATGGAATTGAGAGCTGCAGATGGAGAACGAGAGAAAAGATACAGAACTGCAGCAGCATCTTCGTAGCTTGGACTTCATTTTGCGCGAAAAGTGGTTGCTGCTTGTAGTTATTTAATTGCAGTGTTTCATCAGCTGGTGTCTTGAGCAGCAACCTCTGGAAACAAAGGGCTAAAAACTGGTCTACTCTCCCAAATTATCTGGTCCCTTTTAACTTGGTATTTCAGCTGGTTGACTAAAATCCCTTATTTTGGCTGCTGGTCCCTTATTTTCAAATCTGTAAGTTGACAGCTATGTCTCTCCTGCAAGAGGCAATGATGACCACCAACGTATATGGCTTTAAAAGAGGGCTGGACAAATTCATGGAGGAGGGGGCTGTCAAAGGTTACTACCCATGATGTCACCCATGATGTCACCCATGATGGCTGTGCTGGGCCTCCACAGTTTGAAGCAGCAATGCGTCTGAATACTAGTTGATGGGAACCGTAGGAGGGGAGACGGCTGCCATGTCCATCTTACAGGCTTGCCACAGACATCTGAGGAGCCACTGTGAGAACAGGATGCTGGAGCAGAGGGACCACTGGCCTGAGCCAGCAGGCTATTTTTATGTTCTTACTTTAAAGTGTAATCCACCTGGTTGTGGCCTTTTGCAAGAAAGTTTGTAAGCAGGGACAGTGCACCTCCTGAACCTTCCATATTGGGAGCCATGCACAGCCTCCACTCTGTAACTTGCGTTCACTTTCCTTCTATAGAAACTAACATTTTATGAGGCAGCACTTTGAAAAGCTCACAGAACAGAATGAGGGCAGCGTTTCTGCTTCATCCTGGAACCATCCCCATAATGGGGAATTGAGGTTTCTCTTAGGGCAGGTCTGTTAATGTTAATGTTAATGCCCATACCAAAAAAATCAATCGGGTTTCTACTGAACTCTGCAAAAATTTTGAATAAGTGACTCCTACTTTTCTTTCTTTCCTGTGGAAGAATTCGTACTAATCTAGTCCTCTGGGGAAAACGCTTGCTCCCTCCTCCTTTTCCACAGCTCCCAAACTCTTGCATATCATTCTCCAACCCAAAGGAAAAAGCCGAGGGTGAGATTAAGGAGGAAAATCCAGAGCGAATGTGCTTAAAGCTGTTACGATCTGCCACCTGCGAGTGTGGCACATGTCAGTGGGACTTAACAGGATAATGGCAAGCTGATTAGGCACAGGTCGGTGTGTGGGCCACCTTCCACTGCACCTTCGTACACAGCTGAACGTCCAGAATTCACAAGGGGCTGGGAAAGATAGGAATTCCTTAGCCGGTTTTGTCTGTGCTCTTGAGCCGAGGCTCAAAAATTATTAATAATATATAATAATAATAATATATATATTAATAATAATAATTTATACCCTGCCCATCTGGCTGGGCTTACCCAGCCACTCTGGGCGGCTTCCAACAAAGTATTAAAATACAGTAATCTGTTAAACATTAAAAGCTTCCCTAAAGAGGGCTGCCTTCAGATGTCTTCTAAAAGTCTGGTAGTTGTTCTTCTCTTTGACATCTGGTGGGAGGGCGTTCCACAGGGCAGGCACCACTACTGAGAAGGCCCTCTGCCTGGTTCCTGTAACTTGGCTTCTCACAGTGAGGGAACCGCCAGAAGGCCCTCGGCGCTGGACCTCAGTGTCCGGGTAGAATGATGGGGGTGGAGGCACTCCTTCAGATATACTGGACACAAAGTGTCCGTCAAACCTCTGTCACATCTCAGCACACCAATTCATGTGTTCCACGGTCATGTTTGAATGTCACTTGTGTCACACATCTGGGCTCGTAAAACTGAACATCCAAAGAGCCTACTGGTGTCGGGCTGTTTGTAGTGAACAGGAGGAGGGAACTGGTCCCATAGAACAAGAATGGGACCTAGCTACATGTTACATCAGGAGTAAGGAACCTGTTTCAAACGGAGAGCTGTGTTCTCTTCCAGGCAGCCTTCCGAAGACCACATGTCAGCCGTGTGCACAACAAATGAACGGGGGCTAGTTTTTACATGTACACTCACACAGCCCTTGGTATCTTCCATTCAGACAAGCAAAAGGCCTCAGCAGAATTCAAGGCCACAGCAATCCAGCCAGGCAAAAACAGTGCGTGAAGCAGGATCAGTGAGGGAGTGGGGCCTGAGGAGAGGTCTAAGTGCCACAGCACTCTGCATTTGGCCCTTGGGCCTGAGGTGTCCCTACCCCCATGCTGTGCTAATGATGCACTTGGCAAGCAAGTTGTGGCCTTAAAAAAATTAAATACAAGACCTGAGGGCAGGGGAGAGGGCATTGTGACACCTGTACCACAGCACACAACCAATTTCGTCATTGATGTTATGTGACATTATGCCCTTTTTAATTTTAATTTTAGTCAAGTTTGAGGTGCAGTGTTAATCAAATGGTACATCAAAATTAAACCTTTGAGGTGGAACATCATGCCATAGGATCTATGGCATGTGGAATTTACATTTGAAGAGTTGTACTACTTAATATTTGCATTCAAAGGCACATACTCTGATTTTGTTTTGCGAAACACTTGGTTTGGCTTTTGTTCAGTGGAGGGTATCAATGTTCCCCTTGAGCTCCCAGGAGCTCCCAGTTGGCTCATGGAGCTGCCTGGCTGAGGTAGAACAATCTGAAAAACTGGGAATGCAGAGAGAAAAGACAATAGGTTGATCGAGGGCATTATCTGTGCTGACTGACTTGTACAAAGTAATGCTGCAACTTCTGATATCTCCTAGGCTTGTTCACATGTTACACTGGACACAGGTACAAGCTGTCTTTAGTACACATGTACAAGGTTTTGTGTGAAAGCCTGTTGCCTGAGGCAAACTATAACTCCAAGAGATTATACAATACAATATACCCAATCCCTTTATGGCTTCTTCTTCTCTAGGTCTCCTGACAGCCATGGTGCACCTGCCCATGAGAGCAGCTTCTCTACTTCCTGCACACTGATGCAGCAGTTCAGCGATCAAATCATCTTGGGGGAAGGGGAGCGACCAGCTTCTTCAACATGGATTCATCCCCATGAATTGGGGCCCATGCCAACTGTATTTCCTCTTGTGCCTGAACATGGAACACAAAGGCTACCAACAGAGTATATTGGGGTTGTACCTGTGAGATTTCCTCCACTTTTTTTCTTTCCCTTTCTTCCCCATAGCAAATATAACTATTTCTGGCTTATTTTGTGGGTTTCTAAATATGAAATGCAGTTTTCCCTAGATTTCTCCCCCCTCGAAATGACAACAGAGGATTTGTGCCACTTGGTACTCAAGATTTCTACAGGCCTCTTGGATTTGGGGAATGGCTGCCTCCTTCAGACATATGGCTGTGACAGACTGAGGCAGTTGCTAAGAGTCTGGGATGTTCTCCAGTTGCTGTGAAGAAAATGTTCTCTTTTTCCCTGTGCCTCTTCCTTTCACTTGTTCGTTCTCTCCCCCTCCCTCCCCCAAATCCAATGGAGATGAGGAGATGGGGGGGGGAATGCTACGCGTCATGGCTGCCACTCCTGAGTGGCCTTCTCTGCCTACATAGGGGAGGAAGTTCACCAAAGGCATGGGGCATACGGAAGAAAGAAAGAAAGAAAGAAAGAAAGAAAGAAAGAAAGAAAGAAAGAAAGAAAGAAAGAAAGAAAAGGTCCTTGTGAAATGACAGGGTAATTAACCCAGACAGAAAAACAAATGTGTGTATTTAATGAGCTTTCCTCTTCCTTTTGTGTTTACAGCTTCTTATTTATCTCCATTTACTCATGGCACCTGCCCAAACATTGCCCTTCACCACTAAATGGGAGCAAGCTCAAAATCTGAGCAAAATTGATTTAATATGATTAGCTACATGCCATTGTTCATGCATTCTGACTGGAAAAAAATATTCATTCATGACTGGTTTTAGAAAAGCATAAAACTCCCATCCAATTTCCCCCCTCAGACTAGTTCAACCCGTTTGGACAGCCTTGGAAATCTCTGAAGTGGTTGTTTTTTTGCCAGGCATATTGCGGCCCTGGGCCTTTGAAAGAGATCCCTCTTCAATGTTTGAACTCTTAACTGCAGCACTTGCTTCTTCAAGCTATGCTATATAGGAATTAAAGCATCCAGGTTGCAGTTTCTCCCATGATTGATTTGGGCTCTAGTACTAAACTGGAAGTGGAAGAGAAACTACCGCAAACCAAAGGTTGAGATTAAGGCAGAGACCTTGTCCTAATTGCTAGCCTGGGCTTTGCCATCCACACCAGTCCTGGTCCACCCGAGCCTGCCCTTTGCACTATCAACCAACAGCTAGGGGATTGGTACAGCTATTTGTGGTTTGCCAGTGTCAGGAAGAATCCAAGTCACAGGGGAGATAGCTGTGGTCCACCATTCTCCAGATGCTTGTAATACTAACCACAGCAAGACCCAGTAGCATCCTAGGGTGATTATAGCTATGTTCCACTATACACTCCAGTTCTAATCATGGCTTTGCCTCTTTTTTGTGGTGGTGGGGGGTGTAATTTAATACCTTGAGCCTGCATAGTAAACCATGGGCTCTCCTTTCCTTGACTTTGACATATCACAGCGGTCGGGGTCAATTAGCCCCAGTCTCACCAGGCAAATGACAGCAAGTTGTTCTGGCTTGTGTGTTAACCCAGCCAGCTAAATTCAGTCTTCACCTTGACTGGCAACAACTAGTAAATGCAGATGATCAAATACACAGCTGTGGGGGAGGGTGAATGGAAGGCTTAATCAGATGGTCTGAGGTAAAAGAGATGGGGTGGGTGAGTTGGCAAGACAGAAGGCCAGAAGAAGACTTTCTGCAGAAAACAGGCCTAAGCAGAAATAGGAATTCTACCTAGGAACAACCAATCAACACATAATAAGAGACAATGAGACCTGATCAGTGGTTGATAGAGCTACAGCAAGAAAACTAGAGCAGTTCAAAATGCAGAGACTAACAATACGGGTCGAGAACCTGTGACCCTCAAGATGTCGTTGGACTCCTTTCAGTCCCAGCCAGAATAGACAATGGTCATGGATGATGGGAGTTGTAGTGCAGTAACACCTGGAGTGCCACAAGTTCCTCATCCCTGAATCAACACATATGCCCAGTTGGAGAAGAACAAGAGTCTCTTGCCGTTAGTTCAAGGCTGTCATTAGTTTTTATCCAGAGACTCACTGTTGGTTTTCCTTTTTTCTTAATGCACTATCTGCCCTGTTGATTTCAATTCTTCCCTTCGCCTAGAAGTGCAACATGTTGTACTTCTTCATTTCTACCATCACCCTCTTCTGCCAGTGAGGTGAGAGCCAGTGTGGTGTAGTGGTTAAGAGCGGTAGTCACGTAATCTGGGTAACCGGGTTCGCGTCTCCGCTCCTCCACATGCAGCTGCTGGGTGACCTTGGGCCAGTCACATTTCTTTGAAGTCTCTCAGCCCCACTCACCTCACAGAGTGTTTGTTGTGGGGGAGGAAGGGAAAGGAGATTGTTAGCCGCTTTGAGACTCCTGAAGGGGAGTGAAAGGCGGGATATCAAATCCAAACTCTTCTTCTTCTTCTTCTTCTTCTGGTGACTCAACAAAACATTTAAAATTTTCCAAGCCTCATTGGTTGGCACTGATCGACAATTTGAGAATTTCTCCCTCACCTGTAAATATCAAAGGTTGGGGGGGTCTGCTCTCATCCCAGCATCCCTCCCCACCTTTTCTGGTCTCACTGTGAGTTGGACTCTTACGTTGCAAGGGCCTTTTCCACTGTAATAAATTTCCAAATTTGTGATGTCAAAAAAGAGAAAAAGGTAAGGAAATAAAATTCTAACTTTATTAGTCAACAAGGACACTCCCCATCCTTCCTGTTTTTTTGCACCTGTGTACGTTCAGTGGTAAAAACTATAGCACCCAGACAGTGGGAGGTGTAGCGGTATCAATGTGCACATTCAGCGTTTATTTTTTAAAAAACAGTATCCAGGCATTCATTTTTGAAAGTGAAGGGGCCAGCTAGCCCTGCCCCTTTGATAATGAGGCATTTGCTATTGATGTCTCCCAGCCAACACATGATTGAAACCTGGCTGTAGGTTTCATCTTTTTACAGGAATGAGAATCCTGACCAATCTGGGTCTCTGTCCCTTTGGAGGAAATCCTACATGCTCCCATCCGACTGAGCTGATCACGCCAGCTGGGAGACATTGCTGTCATGTGTGTCATTGCGGTCCCCTTCATGTGTTACCCACACAGGTAATGAATGCTTGAAAAGGGTTAAAGAAAAAAGAAAACCAGGATCTGCAGTTTTCAGAGGAGGAATCCCATGTGGGAAACATGCAACAATTTGTTGTTGGGCACAGAAACAAAAAATAAAATGCAAGAGCGTACCTTTCACACACCTGTGGAAGGATTGGTATATGACACACAGGAAGTGGAATCCCATGGGAGACAACCATTGTACTTGTTTGTGGTAAATGTTCTGTTACACAGGCACTTGAGGGATCTAATGTTACTTGGAAAATGTAGGGTGTTCACCCACTTTCCTGCCATACTTGGAAGAGAGTCACTAAGAAAGGGGTGGGGGTTCCTAGTCATCAGATTAAGGGGAGGATTCATATATGGTATGCTCTCCTTCTAGTGCAGGGGAGGAAAATAAATTTGTATATTGAATGGTCCTGAAAGCAGTTGAAGAGAATGAGTACTCAACCCACTGGTGTTTACGCAAAGGACAGAGATCTTTGAAAACTAACTCGATTTGTGGAAGCATCCTGCATCCTGGCTCCTAGTGAGCCTACTTTCCAAGATGCCTCAAAATATCACTTTATGGGGAGCTACTGCAGTGGGAGGGGCTATTTCATTCATTCCCTGCTGCTGGGAATCCCAAATGCATCTGATGGACCATTTTAGGAGACCAGTTGTTGGTTTAGGTAGGCATTTGGTCTGACCTAACAGGTCTTTTATGCGAAGAGTGATGTAATAAAGCAAGATTCAAGCCCCATGATTTCAAGTGCCCGAGGCTCAATACCTTTCTCTCCCTTCCTGTTGTGCAAAATTCATTTCTCATGGTATTGTGGATGATACTCTGCTCAGAGAAATGACTTGCATGAATACCAGCAAACATTAACACCCTACAGATTGGAAAAAGCCAAGCAATGCAATTGAAACGAACAACAACATATTTTTCTTAATCTGGGCAAATGTCCAAGTAAATGGAATATGTATGTGTCTAGCCAGCAATAGTTAAATACCTGCCTATTCTGCTTTGCCCACCTCCATGCAATCAGAGTGCAGAGAGAGACCAAGTCTCCAAGGCACTAATTCATGTCTTGGCCTAATTACCATTGATTGGATTTCCACATACAACAGTCTCTCTCATTATCACAGCACCATTTGAAGATGTTCTACGTGAGGCCCTCTTAAAGAATCCATTTAAACAACAGAGAGGCTGCTTGCAGTCTGGACACACAGGATCCTGGGAGCCATTAATTATCCATAAAACACAGTACTGGTGAGAATAGAAAGGTCCCTCGTCTGCAGAGAATACCGCTTGCAGTCCCAGTGCTCCCATGAGTCCTTTTTCAAACACATAAGGAAATGGCTGCCTTTCTGTCAGCTATCTTAGAACAGTCTTTGCTACTTAGCTTCCTTTCCAGTAAAGTCAGAAGTAGACAGTGAAGCCATCTGTGGTCATCCACCACCTTATGGGGTCCACCACCCAAACACCCTTTAAGTTAGGTTTTGTAAGATTCACCTTTAGGTGTTTGTGTTCTGTGGGTTAGCATGACAATCCAAAGAGGCAAAGTGTTTTAGTGCAACTTATTTATCCAAAGAAGGAATTGCAGGTGATAAATCCAATAAAGTGAAACCCATAAGAAACGTAATCCCCCTGTGTTTATCACAGCAGAAGGGGTCAAGTTGAGGGCCAGGAGAAACTGTGACGATGGCAGGGAAAGAGCCCGAGAAACTTGAAATGAGTGTCACATTCATCAACCGCAAGTTCCTCTTGGTGTCCCAAGGAACTAGTACTCAACCTAACCTTTTAGCCCAAAGCTCTTCAGTGACTCCTTAAAAAGCCTTGAGTGGGCAAATGCTCGTATTTCCAGTGACAAAGCGAGCTGAGGTAATGGAAGTATTTTCCATAACAGGAACACATGACAGATCAATGGATCATCTGGCTCAACACTTTCAACCTTGTCCAATGGCTCAACTTCCAAGATCGCCAGCAGAGCTCCTTCCCACACCTGTGTCCTACTGCTGAGCTACAGAGGTCCTCCCACCCCATCAACCATCAAAGCATGCTTAAAAGCATGTCCCAGGTGCATTTTTAAGCCTTTGCACTATACTTCTTTCCACCTACAGCAGCACATATTTCATCCAAGCTTTGTTTTACGACATTAGCAATACTAACCTTCCCTCTGCCCCCCACTCCCAGTACATGGAATCATGAATGACACCTTGAGCAATTTGGAGCAAAGGTGGGATATAATGCAGGATGAAAAAGTGCTTGCCAAAACAGGTGATGGTCAGCACAACATCTAAATACTTTGATAAGAATAAATAAAGGATTATATTTAACTAACTTTTACTTGGGATAGATTCATTGAAATTAATCATAGTCATTGATTTCAGTGGGTCCACTGAGTTCAAGTTAGCTGACTACAAGCCAAATAGTCACCAGGTTGAGCAGATATGAACCAAGTCTTCTCTGCTGGTGCTATACTGCAGAACTGGGGAAGCCAACATGGTGGCCCCCAGATATTGGGCTATGGGTCCCATCATCCCTGACCATTGGCAAAGCTCCCTGGGGCTGATGGAAACTAGTCCAACAATATCCGGAGGGCACAATGCTGGCTATCCCTGGTGTAGAAAGTTTGAGTCATTTCTTGGACATCTTCATGCTCCTTTTAGCTTGCTCCTTAATGCCTAGACTACATATACATTGAGCCCAATCTCTGTCTTCCATTTAGAAATG